TCAGAAAAAGTTAACGAAAAAATAAAAGAAAATTGAAAAAGGCACGTGGCGAACCTGGCACAAAGTTCGTTGATGCTGCTGCTCTAATACACTTCCGCAAAGTCCTACCGCCTACTGATTAAGCTGTCCCAAAAATTAGGCCATATCCTCAAGATTTCAATAATCCAGCCAAAGATCCATTCCTAAAAAACGCTTATACCCCCATTCTTCACCAAAACAACTACATAGAAAGAATGACTTCCTCATTTTCAAAGAGTTCCGTAAGTCAAGATGATGCACCAATAGCTACGTAAGATTGAGAATAGCCACTTTAAGCTATAAGGAAAGCCCCTTTATTAGTTTTCCTATCTTCTTTGATAAGTTTCCACCATTCCATTTTCTTTATTTCTCCATTATCTGGTGTATTGACCTTTGTAACTTGGCCAAACCTTTGGTGGCAATATCACATTAGGAAAGATGGCATCGTCAATGGAAATGATAACTCTATTAAGGTGGTGTGCATTAAAGCATTCCACTGCCCATAGTAGTCTTTGGTACTTGGCTTCTTCTAAAGAATGAATGTTGGAAAAAGCCCTCCTATCGTACATCATCACCTTACCTTTGTGATCTCTCACCACCCACGCTGCACCACTCTTTGCTTGAGTTTTGTTCCAATCAACCCCACTGTTACCCTTTAACCACCCTCTTGGAGGAACATACCAGGATTCCATTACACCCATCTATGCCTCTTGTTCTTCCTTCTCCCTTATCTTCTCATTCTTCTGTGCCAACAACCAAAATTTTACTTCCTCGTAAATGTTTGCAACCAACTCTTTAGGTATTATTTTCTTTGCTTCAAAGATGACTCCATTTCTGTACTTTCATAAGTATCATACAATCCAAGGTATTGCATTTCTCACTTCCTTAGGAATTTTTGCTTTGTTCACCATCAAAATCAGCATGTGAAAATTAGAAAAATGAAATACCTTATCAAAGCCATTTTTCGGATGTGGAACATTGGCCAAAGCCCATACTTGTCTTGCCATAGAACACTAAAAGATTATCTGGTTAATGGATTCACCTTGAAAGCCACAAGCTTGACATACTGAATCCATTTTAATTTCCCTCTTCACCAGCAGTTCACCAACCAAAATAGCATTGCTCAAAGGTCTCCACATGAACGTTTTGATCTTCGGCGCTGTTGCAATTTTCCAGACATCCGCTTTCAAACATTTAGGGATAAACGAGTTTCAGCTTCTCTAAGGTTATATCTTCTAACCAAGGTATTTATGAATCAGTATCCTGATTTAACTGAATAACTGACATGTCTGTTATGCAGCCGTACCCAATAATCATCTTGATTAAAAAAACTTTCATCTCCACAATCCTCCTGATATCTTCTTCATAGAAAAGCTCATGAAGTTTTTCCATGTTTCATCGTTTGTTTTGAAAATCAATTAGATCACTGACCTTTAACAAAAGATCAACAAATATGTTCTTCATCAGGGGAGCTCTTCTAACTTCTCCATTGATCCATTGGTCTGTCCACATTGAAACTGTTTTTCCATCGCCCACATGTTTTTGTAGACCCTGACTCAGTAAATCCTTCCCAAACTGAATACTTCTCCAAGTGTAGGAGGGTCTTGTACAAGTTTTTGCACTCAAGAAGTCCAAGTTTTCAAAGTACTTACTCTTGAACAATCTTGCAAACAATGACTCGGATTATTTAGGATTCTCCATGCTTGTTTTGGCCAAAAAAACTTGGTTAAAGCTCTGAATGCCTTTGAACCCTAGACCTCCTTGTTCCTTTGCGAGACACAACTTTGTCCAGCTTAACCAATGCATCTTCCTTTTTTGTTCCAATGAATTCCACCAGAAATCCGCCATTGCTTTGGTGAGATTTTCACAAGATTTCTTGGTTAATTTGAAACAGGACATCGCATAAACTGACATAGCCATAGCCACTGCCTTGATAAAAATATCTTTGCCTCCCAGAGATAGAAGTTTGAGGAACCAACCTGATAATCTATCACTGAGTCTATCATTACTGTATGCTAGAATCTCAGTTCTGGAGCCACTAAAGCATTCCAGTAGGCCCAAGTACGAACCTGATCCGCCTTCTTTTGTGATTCCAGTAATCTCTCTGATATCTCCTTTAATGGATTCCTCCACCTTAGCTCCAAACGTGATGGCTGATTTTGCCACATTGACCAATTTTCTTGTAGCCTTTTTCATAAATTTGGAGGATCGTCATTAATTCTGAGGCTTGATCAATTGATGTTTTGCAGATAAGGAGACTGTCGTCAGTAAATAACATGTGGTTAATCATTGGCCCCTCAGCAGAGAACTAAATACCTTGGATCTTCCCACAATCAACAGCTTTATTTGTCAAATGAATCAGTCCTTCAGTACACAACACAAATAAGAATGGCGATAAAGGATCCCTCTGACGAAGGCCTCTTTCCGGCTGTATGCTTCCGGACGGTTGATCATTTATGAGAGTAGCATACCTGACAGTTGAAACACAGAAAATGATCTTCTCTATCCAAGCTGACTCAAACCCTATATCAAGTAGAAGAGACCGAAGTTATCCCCATTCAATACGAGCATATGCCTTGACATATCAGATTTTATCGCCATAAAATCTTTTAACACTTTCATGTTGGTTCTTAAGGCATGAATGATCTCATGAGCAATAAGAATATTGTCGGTTATAAGCCTCTCTTCTACGTATGCATATTGTGTTGGCGAAACAATATCTGTCATAAAGAGTTTTAATCTCGATAATATTATCTTGGAGATGATCTTATGAAGGACTGAATACAAGCTTAAAGGTCTCATGTCAGACAGGAGAATTGGATCATCGATCTTTGGTAATAGACATAGATGCGTAAATTTCCATTCAGTAGGGACGTGACCTGATACAAAGAATTCCCTGACCTCTTTCGTTGCCTGAGGACCAATGATCTCCCAATATTTTTGGAAAATAACCCAGTCATTCCATCAAATCTAGGAGCACTACCAGGTTTGATTGAAAAAAACAGCTTCCCTAACCTCCTTGTTTCCCACTTCTCTGGAAAGAGTTCATTCATGGCGCCAGATACCCGACTTGTAAAACCTTAAAAGAGTTCAGCGAAGTATCCATTGTTAGCCGACGTGAACAACTTTGAGAAATATTCCCTGGCCACTTCCCCTTTAGCTTCCTCTGAGAATTGTTCGTAGCCTCTATCATCCATTAACTTGATGATTCTGTTTTTTCCCTGTTGTGTGTTCACTGATGCATGGTAATACTTTGTGTTCAAATCTCCCTTAATGGCCCATCTGTCTTTACATCTTTGCTTCCAGTATGGTTCATCTTCTTTATACGCTTGGATCAACTCAAATTTCAGGAAGTTTATTATCACAGTTGATGGAGTCATTGAAAATTGTTCCAGCTCCAGAGCACACTGGATTTGTTTGATTTTATCACGAGAATTCAGATTTTCCCTCATCTTCCAATTACTTACTGCTTTTCTACATCTCTTGAGTCTGTTAGATACCTTGGACTCGAAAAGAGGATGATTGGTTAACAAGGATTTCTTAATCTCTTCTTTCACCCCATTCATGTGAACAATTCTTCCATCAAAACAGAAATTACCCCCTGAATGGTTTCGCTGCCTTAACCAAGTTGACTAATACTGATATGTGATCTGAACCTCTTTTGTCCATGAACACTTGATTAGAATCAGGCAAAAGTTAGAACCACTTCTTGTTTCCAAAACATCTATCTAGTTTGGATTGGATTGAGAGGGTTCATCTATTCCCTCCCCACGCGAAACTGTCATTTGTACTCTACAACTCAGCCATTTCTCCAATTTCCAGCATATCATTGAATGGTTTAAATGAAATTTCGCTCCTCCATGGACCTCCAATCTTTTCATTATTGCTTCTGATCTCATTAAAATCCCCAACCATACACCAAGGTTCTTTTCTATGAGCACCAATGATAACTGTTCCCACAGTCTTGGCCTATCACCCCTTATCTGTTATCCATACACAGAAGATACAAAAAACATGTTCCTCCCGAGTTGCACACTAAAATCCACCAAGTGCTTATTTACAAACTTAAAGTCTATATACACCGAATTCTTCCACATCACAGCAAGAACACCGCTATACCCAACATGATTGACAATCATAATCTTATCGTAGCCCATCCATGTTTGAATATCTACTAACACATTTCTCTTGTTCTTCGTCTCCATCAAAAACAATACGTCATGGAAATGTTCTTGTCTCATCTCCTACAATCTTGGAATAACCAGGTCCAGTGCACGGCCCAAACCCTGGCAATTCAATCTCAGCATTGTCATTTAAATACTTGACGGTCCCTCACGTGGGACCACCAGTGATTTCTTAAACCTTGTAGAGCTTTGAGATGGCTCGATATCTTGTTGTGCCTTCCTTTTCGTATCAGTGACTACACCTTCTCCAATATTCTTCCCCGTATCTTTGTATGCCCTCATTACTCCTTTGCCATTCACTTTTTTTTTTTAAAAAAGTCACAAGTCTTCTTTTGCTGGCTTTAGTTTTTTTTAGAGGAATCCCGGAAGCACTTGTTTCATAGAAACCAGCACTATAACCCGTTGAACCCTCATGGAAAAAACTAGTAGTAAGAGAGTCAAATATAGTTTCTTTTGGTGTAAATTC